CTGATTTTACAACAGTAAAGAGTTATTAATTGCGAAATTATGATAACGCACCATCTGAAAATAAGGAGGCTAGGACTGCCCAAATGTACCACTTTATTTCATGTAGCCTATTTATTCTAATTACTAGGCCTATCTATTTAGCCTAATCACCTTGGATGATATTCTCCCGAGAGGCATTGTGGTTCTTAAATAAGTTCGGTGACACCGAAGTAGCGGTTTCCTATGATTAGGCTATTTAAAAGCCGAGCACCGGGACTGTTTAACAGCTATTCCATTGATGTGCCTAAAACTTTAGTAGCCTATCAACCATAATACGCTCTTTTATGTAGACTAGGCTACCCCCTCAGAAAAAAAGAACAGAAAAGAGGACATTAGACCATATTTCCGGTTTTCGACAGTCATCTGCATTATATCAGAGGCAACAGAGTGCCGGGATATCGATAGTTTCTTGTTGACAGTCATCATGCATAATTTCCGGGCGATTTTGAGGCGATGCCAGGCACATATTTCTTTTTGGAGACTGTCCTAACAGTGTTGCCCCCTGCTAGGCTGGCGACAACTCTCCTTTTCTGGACCGCTACAGGGTTTTTATCATCACCGTGGGACACATTCATCCTGCCTGTCAGACGGGTAGAGGTGGGGGAGATGAATGGGAAATAAAGTTCACTAAGCGGTGGATCTGATTGACTTCGAGAGTTAATAATTCGAGAAAACATCTATTTCTTCTTCTTCTCTTCCCCCCTCCCAAGCCGCATGAAGTCGTTTAATCGCTAAAAGCTCCAGAGGCATTTATCATCGTCACCCAGCGTGCCTTCACATTTGGAGTCTATTTCGCTCAGAGCTGCTGTTTCCCTGCTTAGAGGACTCTGAAGACTTTTTGCTGCTTTAGGTTCAACTATTGCTGATTCTCTGAAATATCAGAAGTAAAGAAAACTGAGTGTTAATTGTTGCTACTAAACAGGATGCATTTAGTCCTAAATAACCTGTGAGATTGTTAGCTTTTTTAAATTTCACTTTTTCACACACAAAAAAACGTAGGCCTATGAGCTCAAATCATCGCAATTTGGACTAAAATATAATAAATGGCTACGGTAATAGGCCTATTTGAATTACATAGTAATAATGCAATTATCTTAAATGATTATAATGTGTTCTTAAAGCTTTAACTGTTAATTGATCCGCTAGAACTTTATGATTTGTGAAACATTTATAAACATTTATAACGTAAAAATGCCACACTCTTCAGGATTTATGTCATGGGCTATAGGCTACATGTAGCCTATGTTATATGATAATATCAGCCTATATTTAATTTTCGATGCAGAGCCTAATCGTCTGCTATAGGCTACAGTATTTAAGATATAAATGGGCCCATTCAATTGTAATAAAATGTCTTGCAAGCACTGTTTTCTGTGGCGGGCTTAACGGAACATCAGAAAACGAGATGAGGACTTTTGACTTTGGACATACACCTGCCAGACTGACTGCAGCACCCGTCTGCAGGCGGTCCTGCGAGCCAGCGTGTGAATGGCATGTTGAAACTTAAATGACCGTGAGGCATTGTTATCTAATACTGGCAGCAAAGTGCCCCGATCCGCCTGATTGCGCTAATTGCTTTGAAATAGGATACATTATGTATAATTATGGAGACTTTGTGCCGGACTGACGGCTGTTTTCTTTCATCTCTCTCTGAGGAGCATCATAACCTCACTATCAAATTAACCCAAACTCACTAAAATAATATTGCTCAGATGGTTTCACCAAGCTCTGAAGGATTTCTCGGGGTTGTCACAAATTTAAATAATAGAGTTAAATTCATCAGACAATACCTCCCAAAGAAATTTAAGTAGGCGCACATTTCACAATAAATCTAGAACATGACCATGATATAGGAGTTATACTCACATTTGAGCGACGTCATTGTCTCCAGACGAAAGTCATTTACTTGCACCAAATGCAAATATTTTGCCTTAAAATGCCTTTTGACATCGACTCCCCCTTTTATGTCTTTATAGTCTAAATTGACAGACCTTGCATGAAAAGGGTTAAGACAACTTTCAGAGGAGGCAACAATGGGCCTTTGTCTGGAGTCCCTGCCTCCTGACTGGGAATCAAAGTAGTTTATAAAGTTAAATAAAGGCCCGATGAGCCTTACAGTTGTTTTGTATCTCAGCTCGGACCTTCATTTGTTGCCTCGGGATTTAAATATAACGGTATGGTAATCGTCTTCTCCATGGCACATCAGTCTTCTTAAAGGCCAATGTTTGGGATGCTAATTGCCACGAACATTGTTTTACAGCACCGCTGTCCCCTCTGTTCACAAGACAAATAAAGTGGAGACAAGGACACTGCAGCCATCAGGTTAAATAGATGTTCATTAAAATCAACTTTTCGCAGAGAGAGATCACAATTAAATCACCAGCTATTGATGCGAAGTGAGAAAATGGTGGAGTGTGAAGCAGACAACAATAATTGCGGGGCAGCGTGATTTTTTGAAGTAGGCTATTTTGTCATATATTCCGCTGAGGTAACTTACTTTATAAGAAGATAATTATGTTTCAGATAGGAATAAGGTCATCACGTGTGAAAACACTGTCCAACATGGAGGAAACGCAGTGGGAATAACCTTATCTCAGACCTGCAGAGTTTCTGAAGGAGTAGGCCTAGACATCACCAGGAAAATAGAAGCAGCCTGCTCATATTTCTCCCCTCCCCGCTGTCCTCTCCGTTCACAAGACAAATAAAGTGGAGACAAGGAAAAAGCAGCGATGAGTAGGCTATATGAGCAGCTTGCTCATATTTTCCTGGTGATGTGTAGGCCTGCACAGTCTGTGCGTTGCCACACCTCACCAAACAGCGCGCGTTAATGCGTCTCGCGTGTGTGAGCCTATTTGCGTTTACGCGGACTTGTTTAACTAGTCGGGGTTGGAGGACTTGTTTAGTGTCTGAGTCCCAAGCAGAGGGTACATCAGAAGGACGTGGGAGCCCGGAGCCTCGGTGACTTCAAAGCCTTCGGTGCCACGCCACTCGTTCCAGGTTAGAGGCTTTAAGTGTTTCCAAACACCGCAGCTGCAAGCTGAGCCTTGCTACCTGCGTGCGCGCGCACACACACACACAAAACTAAATCCAGGTTATCTGTTGAAAAAATGCAAGACAACAATAAGGGAGTTTAAATAAGTATGTGACAACCGGAAATCACTCTAGATCAAGGCTACCTATTTTGCAAGAAATTGTTTTTAAAGAAACACCTTTTACTGATTTATTATTCTAATCATTTTAACAATATTATAGCCTACCATTTATAAAAGCAACACACATAAGAAGCCACATTTCTTTTATTTGATTCCACTTTCGCTAACATTAGTCCGCCATAATAAGATCCAACAGCCTATTTCTGCAACGCCTCTACAAATAGCAAATTATTTACCTTATCCTGTCATCTTTATCGCTTATACGTGCAAAACAGGTGCCTGCGTCCCTGGTAAAATCACCATGTCACCTTGAATTTTAATTACAATGTTCAAGCGAAGGAAGCCATTTGATATTTCAACCATGACCAGACTGCACCACAACAAGTTTAATCTTTATGACGCATTTGGTTCCAAACGTGGGGTCTGCGGTACCCCTGTGGTCCTGGCTGGGTTATTTTAATTCCTAAAGTGATGGCACGGTGACAGATAGATTAAGAGGATGACTGGGATGGGGTGTAGGCCTACTTCACACATCGCATACTCCTGCACAAAGTCATAACAACAAACACCTCCTCAGCTCTGCGGTCTGATGTGGATCTTGGGAAATACTTGCACCTAGGAATCCTTTTCAGTAGGCCTATCGCGACACTCTGAGAGTAACCAGTGGGCGCCGGCCTTTTCTTCTGAGGAGCTGTACAACGCCGACTAGGGCGCTCATTTGAATAGATGGGAATGGCTGAGAAAAAGCAAAAATGTTTCAGGCTGAATGGCTCAGTGTCCCTCGGCTAGGGCGGGTGGAGCAGGAGGCGGCGCTGCGCTCTCGGTGCGGGTTCAACTTCTTCAATAGTCTCCCTAAAGTCGAGCGCTTTGATCCGGGCGCTGCTGGCGCCTAAAAACAACATAACTTGTCTGTCCATTAAGGAGACTGACAAATCGTGACAGATTGTTTATGCTTGGCAATTAGCGACGCAGTCGCTTTCCTGGGAACTGGCTACACAGCAGAATAAAGGTGATCTATGCATGTCTTTACAACAAGGCTTTTAAATCTAAAATTAAGAGCAGCAACACTTTTGGGTACAATATCAAACTTTATGAGCGCATCAGTACTTTTCCATTCTAAATGAAATACTATAGCACATATTGACATGTTTTCTGTAAACCATAATAACGATTTTTTAAAATCCCACTTTTTATGGACTCCTAATAATGAGATTGGACCTGAGGTAGCCTATAGCCAGGTAAATCAATGACAGTCTTGGGTTAAATCTCTCCTTGGCTCCACGCTGCCCCCCTCTCTTTCCCCCCGACGCCACATCAATTTTGACTTTAATGGATGTAGTCAAAGGGGAAAAATCCGAGTGATCCCTCCCCCAAGCCCGATAATTACCCCTAAATGACTGCGAAGGCCTGTGTGTTTCAATCTGATTAGAGCCCCGCAGCCATCAATAAACAGCGCGCTGCGAGAGGTTCATCGCATAAAGAGGGGGCAGTAAACTGTTGTGCAATATTAAAGACTCGCATAAGCAGTTTGAGCACATAGCCAACGTCAGTCCTCATATGGGTCGATCTGAATAAAGCTGGTCAAAATGTTTGGGGCAGGAAAGTCAGGCCTATCAGAGATCATATAAACATGATAGGTAATAATAGAAATAATGCACATGACCCAGTTCTAAAATGCCTAACGGCAGAGTAGTAACGGTCATTTCTGCATTTCTGGAAAGATTTTTTTTTTTGTGGGATTAAGTCTTGATGAAACCATGGCCCATTAAGAGTTTGTTGTGTTTATCTGAAGTTGCCTGTTTAAAAAAGTACCTATTGTTAATTTTCCCACTCTGATTTCTTTTTTGTCTCTCGCCTGGACCAGCCCATCTCGCCCCTGATTGGCCGCCTCTCTCCCCACGCCTGCCTTATTACAGCCAGGCACTCCAATTTGGTCACATAAACATGAGGATACCGTCACCTCAGGGCGCACCGCAGTAACGTTGTGCAACTCTTTCAACTATACCCACGAGAGTCAACTAGCCACCTCAGCCGTGCCAGTCGGACCTGTATGGCCCCATCGATCGCCATGTCAGCTTTGACCGCTGGTTTGAAAACCGAAGACTTCCCTCCCCGCTCGGTTCTTGTCAGCAGAGACGACATGCAGACCAGCCTGAGCCCCGCAGAGGAGACTATGAAACCCAAAGTTGCAATTTTGCCCTTCAGCGTCGAGGCACTGATGGCTGATAGGAAACCCAGGCGAGAGGTGGAACCCCCGGATGCCACGTCCGTTCCCGGGACGTCCCAGGCGCTCGGAAAGGGCGCAAGGATGGGCTCTTTCGGCAGTCTGGATACTTCAGTTCCTGCTTTAAACATGAGCTCCACGTTTTCAGTGGGCGAGATCATGAACATGCCAGAAGACGTGCTGATTAAGCCCGAGAGTCCGGACAGTCAAGAGAGGACTTCATGGATACAGAGTCCTCGCTTTTCTCCCACACCTCCACGTAAGTTTGGTGTCAGTACACCGCCTAGATTACAGAAATAAATAATATCTCAGTTAAATATCTGTCACTTTCTGTTATTAAATATGTTGGACGCGTGTGGCGAAGGATTCCTTTCACACTCACACAACTTTTAGGCTACTCAATTCATTTGTTTGATGTTGCGCATTGCAATCCAAGGTTTAAAATGAAAGCGTTTTGTCCTCTTACAGGAAGGTTGAGTCCTCCTGCCTGTCCACTGCGAAAACACAAGACGAACAGAAAGCCCCGGACCCCCTTCACGACGTCCCAGCTGCTGGCCCTTGAAAGGAAGTTCCGCCAGAAGCAGTACCTTTCTATCGCCGAGCGCGCAGAGTTCTCCAGTTCCCTCAACTTGACGGAGACCCAGGTCAAGATCTGGTTTCAGAACAGGAGAGCCAAAGCTAAGCGGCTGCAGGAGGCCGAACTTGAAAAACTGAAAATGGCAGCTAAGCCTATGCTGCCTCCAGCTTTCGGGATTTCCTTTCCTCTCGGTGCGCACATCCCCGCGTCCTACCAAGGCTCGCACCCGTTCCAGAGGCACTCGCTGCCGGTTTCCCCCGTGGGACTGTACGCCGCTCACGTCGGATACAGTATGTACCACCTCGCTTGACGGGGACGGAGGACGAGGGGCACGTGCAGTAGCACACAAGGGGGTTTAGGCTACTTTCTGAGGGCCCCGAACGAGAGGGGGCCCTTTGGACAAGTGAGATGAGAGTGTACTAAATAAAGAGACATCCTGGCGGTGAGCTCAGTGTCACATCTTGTCAGGGGGCCAAGACCTCCAAACAGACCCCCTTCTGAGGACCTTGAAGTTTGTCCACTTCTCTTGACCTTGCCAGTAAGTTCACACACTGCAAAAATAATCCAGCTTTATTAGTCATTTAATCTCGAGTCTTAATCAGTTTTTGTCAGCGGACTTGGAAATAATTATGCCAGTCAAGCACGTATTGATACTAGAAATCTTCAGTTCAGAAAAATAATCTGAGCGTGAGACTAAATGACTTTAAGATGGACATTTTTGCGGTGCAGAGGTGGAAAACAATTCGTAGGCTTATGACATATCACGAATGGACAGTTAAGTATGGCCACTAGGCTGTGCAAAAGTGTATCAAAGATAGCCCATTCCTCTACCTTCATGGCTGCTTACAGCCAGGTAAAAGGCTATTACAACGGCTTCTGTGAGTAAGTCAGAGACTGCTGCGCCGCTTGACAAACATAAGCTGGGCTTCCATCGCATCTGTGGGCTGCTGTCACGCTGCAGAAACCATACTTTTCATATCAACGCGTCACTACAGTGGGTTACTGAATCCAGTGTCAATGAATGCTCTTTGCGAATTTGGAGAACCACAGCATTTGTTTTTTATAACAGCACTGTCTGTTGGAGTGATTCCCTTCGGAAGGGATGTGTGTACTGTAAAATAATGTATATTTGAAGAATATCCTCATTTATTTTATGAATATATTTGTGACATAACTTAACAATAAATTGTTTATTCTTTTTCATTAAGCAGTTTCGTTTTGACTGACACTTGCAGGGTGCCTGTAGCACCAAAATGTGACTATTGTGGTCGTTTTATAAAGCCGGAGGAACCAAGCTTGGAAAATATTTCTTTTAATGGTGTAATGAAAACTTCAAGTAATAGCCTACTTAATATTTTACAATTCTAGAGGGAAGTTTAAGTCTTTGTGAGTTCTGTAATTTCCTGGACATATCATCTTAAGATTAACAAGTTGGGGGTAAAAGCAGAAGGGAATAATTATTATCAGGCCTAAACCGTATTAAATAATTAAAAATATGAATAATGATCAGCTTGACGAGAGCATAATTGAAATATTATGCCTTTTGGAATGTCAGTGAGATGGCCAAAGGCTTTATGTGACACACACTATAACAATATTGAGAAAATAATGCCCACCTTTTCAATTTATCGTCAGGTATTCGATAATGAAACCATTCAGGCTTGCGCTCCAGTATAGGTATATGCACCCTTGCAATGCTAGTGTGCACTGTGAATTTAAACTTGTCAGATGTTATTTGGTGGAATGTATTGCCACAGCTGTTGCCTATTGCTTTAAAATAACTAACCTAGATTTTGTTGGCGCCAGAAGATTTTAGGGGGTGGGAATTGGGGGACAACCAGTTGTGCTGACTTCAAAACACACCGACAAATATTGGAGATAAATGCTTGTAAACAATCCACCAGAGTGTCATTACTGAGTGTTTAGGGTGTAAAATGAGCCAAGTGACACCCCATTATGGAGAAGACAGGGTGTTAAAACCAGTATGCCACTCCTCATATGAACATATTACCTTACTGGAACACATAGCCTAAAGCAAATATGTTATCCTTCGGTTGAACGCTGGAGTCATTTTCTGCCATCAGGAAGACTTAAATGGCAAAACAGGCAACAGACAAGGGGAAATTACAGGCCCCTCCGCAGCAGGTTTTAAATGCTTTCTCTCGAGTTCTCTGCCATTCAGGCAGGGGTTAAATTGGAGTAAAATAATTGCTGTAATGAGCAAAGAAGGCAATCTGCCGCAGACGGAGGCCGGCTCCAGCCAGGCTGTAGCTCCAGGCGAGGCGGAACTTTTATCATTCCTAAAATGTCAACGGGGGACTGGGACGGGCAACACTTCTCCTCTCTGTGCTGTGATTTTTTGCTCCTCAGCGCTGACAGGCTGCTGTCCTAAACAAGGGCCCAAATGTAGGCATTTATTGAGCTATTTCTCAAGAATCACAACACGCTTTTAATCTCCCACCCAATCTTGCCACATCTTTTAGTATCAAATGAATTACACGTTTATTCTTGGAGTTTATTTTATGGTGGATGTTGCCTGACTAAAGGCCAGATAGTCTATTTTTTATTTATTTAGTTGGTGTGTTTTCCTCTGACAATCTCTGCTCCATTTTATCCACGAGGCATAAATTAATAGCTACAGAACCCCTGACAATAAGTTGAAATCACACGGATGGACGCTCAGTCTGAAAAGAGTTGAAACTTGACACAAAAGAACCAAAGGGGATCCGTTCATTCTTTCAACTCTTTCATTCTTTTGTCCCCGGCTCTCCGTATCTTGCCAGAAGCCAAAGAGAAAACAAAACTCACTAGTTTATATCATCCAAAAGATCACAGGAGGCTGTTTGACTCTGCAGTAAAAAAAAATCCATTGATCACTGATCCCCAAGAAAGGAAAATGGGTTATTAGAAGTCGCCTAGACAGCTTGGTTAAATGTTTATTAAAGCAGAGAAGTCAGTGGAAAAGACCTTTAACCTTTATTCAGTTGAGACATATAGACTATGTGACTTTTTATAAACTGAATTAACACAGGCTATTACAGTTCGTCGAGTTATATGTGTTTATTCCTTAACAAAGACTGTTACAAGTGGACCCACTACCCAGGTTTTTATTGCGACATAGCCTATTAGGCTAAACCAGAGTAAATTACAAATCTAGGCTCACGTTGATTTTCTTCAGTCAAAACTGCTGGTTGCTTCCTTTATGATCTCTGCGGAAACAGTCTGCCCAAATGCAGTCTCTATTTACCGCCATACTCTAATTACCCTCTATGATACCTGATTAATGAAGCAATTAGATTTGACCATATTTAATTTGACACGTTTCATGGGAGTTGCTGTTTTAAGTGTATTCATGTCATTTGGTTCTTTACAAATTCGCAACAAATGTCTGCTCATGACTTTTTTGTGAGAAATAATATGTCAATACATGTTGGCCTGGCTGAGTATAAAAGGGTCATCAGGTGCTGTGAATTCATTCAAAATATTAGACAAGGTGTTGCAAGACATTAGCCTTAAGGCCTTAACATGTCCATTACAACCACTTGAAATGTGGGGAAAATAGATCTTAAACTAGTCTCCAGTCCTTGTAACTTTCTCTGTATCTCCCAGATACCAAACCACCACCTTCTGTTCAGAGTCGGAGTAACATTAAAAAGGCTCGTTCTTTTCGATCAAAAAGTATAACGTTTTAAACTAAACTGAATTCAACAAAAACTAGCTTTATAAAATAATATTTTAGTGTCATTGCCAGAAGAATCTTCTTTGAATAGCCTGTTGGCTTTGGGCCTTTTCAGAAAAATGTGGTGCAGGAGTGACTAAACTAGGCTATAATCATAATAATGTTTTATCTAATAATAAATACTTTTTTTTTTTTAAATTTTGCTGTTTCACCTTCATTATGGCTTCTTTCTTGAAGCATGTATCCAGTTGTCTGCTTACTATGAAATGTCTTTTTCTGTTCATGTAAAAAAAAGTTAAAAGCAAAAGGCACATTTTCGATTAAATTAGCCTACTCATCTGTTTTTCACAACATGTGAACTCTGAGTCCTGGATATGAGAGAAGATCTTGGCTAAAATAAAGGCATTAGGACGCAAGGAAAATATTTATATTTAACTATAGCCTATAGATTAATAGAATGGCAGACTATGTCCTTGCTCTGCAAAGTAGCCTACAATGCGGTGGGAGTCCTCAGTCACTCAGAGCCACGTGCTGTAAATACTGTTAACAATGCAGCAAGAACACTATAAATCAGTGTTACCAGCAGACACAGCCATCATCACCAATTTCTTGCGGCTGCCAATACACCAAAAATACCTATAAAATCAATCTCTTGCAGAAAACCACATGTTCTCTAGGTAACGAAACAGAAATATTACAGCCAAGACATATGTAAAGAAATGAAATGCAATAAGCTCACCATGAAGTAGCCTAAGTATTGAGACTGCCACACAGTAAAAGTCAATATTAAAGGAAAGATATAGTCCTAAATAGGCCTACATAATTGAGCTGGACTTTTTAGAGCCACGGATGACTATTTAGCTATGCTGACAGTCAAGCAGATGAATAATACATTTTGAATTGCTTGCTTATACAATTTATCACTACCTTGTCTTAATGAGTTAGGCTGTAGGCCTACCGCCCATGTTGATGAAAGCAGCTTACAAGCAGAGCTAAGCTACATAGTTAGAACGGATTAATTAAGCTAATGAAGAACAAAGATGATATAGCCTAGCCTTAATTTTGTGGTTATAGCCTATCCTCAAGTGTCCGCTGTCCTACTTGCCTTGAAAGGTTTTGATTGACCTACGTTCATGACCAGATTTTGGCCACTTACACTGAAGGCTGAAGTTGTGAACCTCCGAGATACCAACAGAGTGATCCCCTCTGACTGACTGTTAATGGCTGTTCGGTCCTTCTTCACAGACTCCGGTGACCCTTCACTGAATAATTACTTCAGCGTGTTAAATCAGTGGAACAACTGTGCGTTTGTAAGGTACATTTACTGCTGACAGGAGGGAAAGCTAATATGTGAGAGTTTTGAATCTCACTGGTTGAACACTAACACGCCCCATATCCACATTTACTGAGCAGCATACAATAGTGAGGAGAGTGTGCCAATCGCCTATTGGAAATTAAGGGGGAAACATTTTCTTATGTGGCCTAATGAGGCAGCATTTCTTTTTAAGATGCAATAAAAGTGCTAAATGTGATGGAAAATTGCCTGACCCCCCCATAAACAAAAGTGAATCAAAACTGCATCACCGTCCCTTTAATGATCCTTTAATTAATAGGTTTCTGATATGTCCTTTACAAGGCAATTTAGCTAATTCAACAAAGCAGAGAACGATTACTGTCACCCCCCGGCAAAGTTGTTTTTTTTTTTTATTGTGCAGCATTTAGCATCTTTCCTGCAGTGTCGCAGAACATTAAAATTGTTAAATTACCTGGCCGCCAGCGATTTATATGTTCTGTTCTCGTTTTGCCTTAATGCTAGAAAATCACGTGGATTCTGCGGCCCTCTAATGATGATCAACAAGCGCAGCAATTAAGCTTTATAACCGCACTGTGGGCTGATTTCTTAACGAGCCACATGCGGCTGACTAACATTTAAGTTTTTGCAGGGTTGGTTAATTAGCAGTGAGGGGTTCAGACCTGATGGTTCAGAAGTGCAAGAACTTGATTCTTGGCGCATAAAAGAAAAACTTGCTTATTGCAACATGGGCCAAGCTCAAACTTAAACTGCAGGCTGTTAAATGATAATAAAATGATTGTGATGTGTTGTAAGATTCTCAAGACTGATGTTTTCTTTGACTCTGGCTCAGTGTTTAAAGAATAATCAAATGGCAGCTGGGTGTTGTGACATGATTGTGGATTGTGATATATAACAACAAAATAATAATGTGCCATTAGATATTTTAAATAAAGCTCTAAGTTTGCTAATTGGAAAGCTGTTACATTATCAGAAGTTTGAAAATCTCTGTGAACCCATGTGTCCCTGCTTAATCGCTTATTAATGTAACATTTTGTGTTAATCTCTCACTCTCACCCTGTTCTCATCACAGCAAGAAAAGGTTTGAACCTTTTCAACATAGCCTAATGGCTGCAGATTTGACTCTGTTTCCAGGCTGCAGTACTGCATCTGTATTTTCAAATTATATTTCAGAATAAAAATGTAAAAAATGTTCATAATTACTGTCAGTGAAACAAAAACACACACACACACACAGAAAGAGAGAGAGAGAAACAGTCAACATAAAATAATGAAAAACCATCCTCATCTGATCTAACAATATGGAACTACGACAACCAGTGCCACCTTGTGACAGATCAAGGCACTGTCAAACTCCCCTTGATCATAAATAATCCAAACGAGCAGTATTGGATGACCATTGCATGTACCCTGCTCACCCTCCAGAAGTGACAGATGGTCCTGTTCCACCACATCCCAAAGGTGCTCTATTGGATTGAGATCTGGAGGCCACTGTGGAACTGTGGAGGCCACTGGAGTACAGTGAACTCATTGTCATGTTTAAGAAACCAATTTGAGATGATTTGAGCTTTGTGACATGGTGCATTATCCTGCTGGAAGTAGCCATCAGAAGATGGGTACACTGTGGTTATAAAGGGATGGACATGGTCAGCATCAATACTCGTGGACGATGCTCAGTTGGTAGGTAGGAGCCCAAAGTGTGCCAAGAAAATATCCTCCACACCATTAAGCCACCACCAGCAGCCTGAAACGTTGATACAAGGCAGGATGGATCAGTGCTTTCATGTTGTTCACACCAAGTGCTGACCCTACCATCTGAATATCACAGCTGAAATCCAGACTCATCAGACCAGGCAAAGTTTTTCCAAACATCTGTTGTCAAGTTTTGGTGAGCCTGCGTGAACTGTAGCCTCAGTATCCTGTTCTTAGCTGACAGGAGCGGTGTGCGTTCAGAGATGCTATTCTGCATACCTTGGTTGTAACGAGTGGTTATTTTAGTTACTGTTGCCTCTCTGTCATCTCGAACCAGTCTGCCCATTCTCCTCTGACCTCTGACATCAACAAGGCATTTTCGTCCACACAACTGAACTCACTGGATATTTTCTCTTTTCGGACCATTCTCTGTAAACCCTAGAGATGGTTGAATGTGAAAATCCCAGTAGATTAGCAGTTCCTAAAATACTCAGACCATAAGATGACCAGATTTCAGAAATGAAAACCGGGGACTGTTTTGGTTTGGTGGTCAGAATGTCATTAATAAATATAATGTTATTAAATATGAAATAAAAAGGGGGGGATGATTTTGGTTTTATAATCTGTCAAATATTAATATAAAATATAAATGAAATCAAGTCATTTTGAAGCAGAAACCTTTCAGTCAATAAATATAGAGGCTGCAATCACTTCCTGGCAAGTAGAATATTGCATTTTATGTGTTGTTTTGGCCATTTGAAGGCATTTTAAGAGGTAAACTAATTGAGTTATAATCTGTCAAATATAACTTCTGAATGAAATCAATTATAATCAGTTTTCTGCGGTCTATCATTTTTCGGCACGACACATGTATGCTCTACTGTCGAGTCTTTCTGGCCACCTAAAATCTGATTTCAGGTCTGTTAGCACCTTTTACAGTCTATGATTAACACACAGTTAAAAACGGGGACATTTCCGGGGACAGCTCCAGACAGCCTCCGGTTTTGGTGGCCTGTCCCCGGAAAACAAGAAGGTCTGGTTACCCTAACAGACCAGCCCGTCTGGCACCAACAACCATGCCACGTTTAAAGTCACTTAAATACCCTTTCTTCCACATTCTAACGCTCGTTACAATCCACTGAGCCACTTCCTGTCTATGTGCAGATCACACAGTATTGCCAATAGAGGGCAGCACAGGCCATACATTAAATCAGACGGGCATACTTGTTGCCAAATCCAAGAAGCCCTAAAGCTGATGATACACGGAGCAACTTTTAGAGCAATCGTGCAGGGCAACGTTGCCATCAGTGATAATGAGTAAAGATTACTACTGTAATCCCCTTCCCCCACCACTCCGCCACCTTCCCCTCACCGCCCCTATCTGTTCAAAACATAGCCGGACTTGCCACTAGCAAGATTGCCCAGCAACATTGCTCAAAAAGTTGCCCCGTGTATCATCAGCTTAACAATTAACAAAAATGTGGCAACTGCGCCATTACTTGTCCACAGAGCTCTAATGGCAAGTAAAACAATGATGCCAATATTAAAACAAATCTGTCGGTCCTCACTGTGTGAGTTAATATTTTCTATCTGTATCCACTTGCAGGAAGAGAGTGGGGACTGTGGTTTGTGTCAAAGCCACAACGCTTACAGTTCATCAATCACATTTTCAAGTCACAACCACCAGTTTATCGTTGCTTTGTAGAGGGAAAAAGCTTTTTGTGCTTTGACCTAAACAATGCTAACTTAATATACAACAGTAAAAGTCAGCAATTGTGACATGCGGACTGAAAATCAGAGTGAAACTGACTTCACTCATGTCAAAAAAAATATGAGGAAGGGACATCATGCTGATTTACAGACATGAGCCAGTTTGGTCTCAGTATCAACTGAGTCTGCCAGTTGATTGAATCAACTGGCAGACTCAGCAAAGATGCTAAATGCTGCACAATAAAAAAACAACAACTCTGCCAAGGGGTGACAGTAATTGTTCTCTGCTTTGTATAATTAAATTGCCTTGTAAAGGACATATCAGAAACCTATTAATTAAAAGATCATTCAAGGGTCGGTGATGCAGTTTGAGATTCACTTTTGTTTATAGGGGGGATTCCCAGAATCAACTGGCAGACATGGAAATAACTTCAGACAACAGAACAAGTTGATACATAAAGAGATGTTTTATTACATAATGAGGGACATATATATGTATAATGTCATAAAGTATACATTAAAACAGGCACGTTTCTAATATGTCTATGACAGTGAGGGCTCTATTATTTTATATCGGGTTTGCTTACGGCCATTAGAAAATACTGAATACAAGCAGCAGCATTGTCGTAATTTCTTTGGTATAAAAGTTTTTTAAAAACTTTCTACGTGAGAAAAGTCTGAAGGAACACACCATACAAACCGAGTGCGAGAAAGCAATGCTTGGGACATCTATTTCTTACATAACAATTTCAACCACCATGTTCAACTCTTCACGTTTACAAAATGCTGGATAGTGCTCCTTTAAGACATCTTAGTCGGACCAGGGGTTATGGAAACACAACATATTTCTCTTAATTACACATGAAGCTTTGATCAGCCCTGGTAAGTAAGCAACGGTTAAGCCCTGCTCACAAGCATCTCTTATTGGTTTATTATTTCAAGGTTTTCATCGGCATGGTTGGCATTCAGCAAATTTCCTGTGGAAAGTTCTGCACTCCTTGCTGGAATGTAGCCACACATTTCCCCTAACATGAGTCTGCAGCGAACACAGAGTCAACTAGGTAAGACATGAAACAGCACTGCGTGTATTGCTTATGATGCTTCTAATGCAGTACAGGCTGTGGTGTGTGTTGTACATGCTTTACCACTCTACATATTGCTCATGTTTTTATGAATGTAAATGACCAATGTGTGTTGCTCATCGCTCCTCCTGCAGCAGCTGGAGCCTGTCCTCTGCATAGTGAGGGATACTGTGTCCAGTATCAATAGCCTCACAGTCATTTGTAAAAAACACCAGGTCCTGCCAACCAAACAAAGACATGCATGTGATTAAACCACTCAAGCTGGAAAACAAGAATATGATGGTGAAAAACTCGGCAGGCGTTTTAGATGTTCTTACCCGATAACAAACTCTGGAGATGATGGTGTACAAGTTCTGGACTTTAAGTTTGAGTAGCACCATCCTGGGACGCTCTCTGCAGGACTGGTCAGGATGGTTCAGCACCACGTAGAGAAGGTCACGGAGCTTGGCAGTGACGCACGAGTTCTAGAAAGATCAAAAAACTCTTTTAAAATGAACATCAATGATCACTGTGCACTGCTATTCACAAATCTTCTACTGAATTAGTCATTTCTTATCAGAGATTTTGTTTTTGCATGGCAGTATTTACTGACTGCAACTCCTTGTAGGTCGAGTAAGCTCTTCTGAATCTAGGGTACTCAGATATTCTCATAAACCCTCAACCATACACAAAAGGCCACCGAAACATACAAGGTAATATTTGGCACAGGAATAACAGTGCACTAATTTTTGCGTTGAATTAGCTTCCTGTGTGTGGTGAGAGTGAAAGCTCCTGCTCTTAACTGGGATCATTGTCTTGTTTGACTTGTTGAGTTTGTCTTAAATTAATCAGTTTCAATGGAATGTAGGCATCCCACTCACTGTTTAAGTGAGGCTTGCACACAAACGTTTTGGTCTACCTTGCTGTCAGTCACCATATCAACAGCTGTGGTCCTTATGAACAAAATGAACTGTCACAACACCTGAGCTATACAGAGTTCTGTAAATAGCAGTCTGTTTTATCCACTGGTTATGATGCTTTTGTGAAGTACTCACATTTCAGGTGCTGACCCTTTACCCTTATAAAGTCAGAAAGGTTAGTGACATAGTTTGATTTGAGTGAAACTGAATAAAAGTTACTCTAAATCTAAATCTTTTTGTTGCAATTTTTGCCTGTATTATTTATTAGCCATAAGGCTGTCATAAGCTCACAGTTGGGGTCAGTTTAATCAAAAAACCAAACACATTACACTGTGCTACCATTCTTTAATGAGCTGTCACCATCACGATTCTAGTAAAATGCATTGTGTAGCCGTTTTGTATTGGCAAACTTAAATTTTAGACACACACACACACACACACACACACACACACACACACACACACACACACACACACACACACACACACACACACACACACACACACTTATCCATTATAAATCGTGACTACAACTATTCACTTCCTCTCCTGGTTATTCCAAAAAAGACTACGTGCAGTAGGCCTACTTCCATATTTAAAGTTACTATAAGAGACAAAGAGGGACATGACTGAAAGTAGGAGGAAAAACAGAAAGGGTTAATGTCATTAGCTCTTAATATCTAACTGATATGCCTGGAAATAGTGATCAGTGGGTGAAAGGTGGTTGGAATGTCGGGAAAAAAATGTGTCCCAACATCGTATGCATTACTCCAACTGTTTTAAACTTACATGCACATCAAGGAAGACCGTAGGCAGAACCTCAGCACACGTTTTCTGCAACCCAACAAACATTATCATTAGAATACTAATACTGAGCATCAAAACGGGTTAACGCAACCGTGTCTGCACAATGTGACGATGCAACCAGACGTCAAAGTGCTTACCGTGCGATGGTACGTGTGTATTTTGTCCAGCAGAGCCATGATTTCTTTGCTCAGGCCGAGCGCTCTGGAGTAGCAGGTCGGAGGCGCGCAGCCCGACAGCCGCACAAAGCTGAAGAAACACACGAGAGCGGCGAGTCCCGGCCTCATGTCGGATATCATACGTCGATGTGGCTGCTCAGGACTGCTTTCAGCTGCTGTGACAGTCAACTGTGTTTGTACAGTAAAGAGGAGGACCTGCTGTAGTTATAAAGATGGAGTGGTGGAGGGGGAAAAAACGATGGACGATGACGTAGACGCGCAGCAAGGCTGAGGAAAACATTTGGGGCTCTGCTGTGTTTTGGAGAGCAAACACTGTTCATGCACGCTCTGAAAATACCAGGAATGATTGAGCTTCTCCGGGTGACAGCACGACCTTACATTTTTGGGACAGTTTCCAACCCAATTTTCTGGCTTGTAAATTGCCCAATCCCATACAGTCTAAGCCCCAAACCAGGTCACTGATGACAGCCATTAATTATCAGTGGGAGCCAACATGTGAGAAAAGACCATCAAGGGGAACCCAAGGGTACATTTTATCTGTTATCTGCACAAGAGATAACTATGAAGTTGGACGTTCCATGTGTCTGTGTATCTCAAGTGTAAGGAGATTATACAAAAACTCAATATCTATTGTTTTGAAAAGGAATAACAATAGAGTATTTGACACTAATGTTTAGGAGTTTACACTAATACTACAGGAAGCGGGGGTGGGGGTGGGGTTATTCTCCAGAACTCATTTGTAAAGTAAATCTATTAAGAGTGTGTACTTAAGTGGACTTTTCCCACCATTTAAAAGATGTGCATTCAAAAGAAGACCACAGGTCCTTTCAATGACCTTGCAAGTCATACTACTGATTTACAATTTGAATTGAGGAGCAGGAAAACACCACTGAAAACATCAGCTGCCTTTACTTAGAAACAAAGCCAGATGCTACATACATTCCGATTATTTTTTGCTACATAGTCAAACTATTGTTTTATTTTAGATTTTAGTATAATCACATTATAAATTACCATCATCATAAAAAAAACCTTGCAAAAGACATTCTTTGTATGTCTCAAGGTAGGTCTGTTGGAGCCACTGAGCCTTTCTTCAGATTTAGGAAGTTCCTTTTCTTTTTTCTTTTAGGGGCATCAACACGGTCACATGATTCAGGTGGATCCCGAAACACAAACAACCGTTCTCCAGTGGCAGAGGCTGCCATCCTGTATTCCTCTGCTCTGCTGTGTAAGGTTTCACTCACTGTGTCCACAACCCTTTCTTTTGCAGTGCGACTGTGCTGATATGTAACTGTGTTTTCAGTCATGGCTGATTTACAAACAGGCTGTTGTGCTTTGGTAAAACTTTCCTCCTCTGCTTTCTCTTCCACCAGCAGCAGTGCAACATCTCTGGGAAGCAGGAGGCGGGATCTGGGGAGCAGTTTTTCCATCAGACTTTGTCTCGTTTCCTGGAGTCTGAGAGATTTGTAGGACAAAGGAGCTGTTGTTAGTGGGACTGGGGTGTTAAAGTGTTTACCTCATGCATGTGGTCCCTGCAGCCCAGGCTTGTAACTGATGAAAGTAATATTACACATCAACAAAGGATTTGTCTTTGGTGTTTGTTGGTTACAGAGCAACAAATGAGTCTTGATGATAGTGTAATATTAACTCTTTAAATAGCAGCTACTAGCAGTTGAACTCACCTCTCTCTGTCCACAGTGCAGCTCAGCATATTTAGCATATTTTTACGCACTACGTCTTCTCTCAGTTTGACAGGAAGAAGTCTGTTCAACCCTTCGGCACACCTGGTCAAAAAGTCATCAATATGTTATACAGCTGGTAAGTGGGATACAATCTCTGCAGGAAATGACTGGCTTTGATGAAAAAATCATTAAGGGGGCCCAAATATCTGATAAGCTGTATGAACTTTTCATTAGTTCAGACGGAGAGCGCTTTTCCATTAAAGTACTTAGTAGGGTAGGGTTTCTTGGCCCATTGACGCCTGAATTTATTTACAATTATACAAAGTGTTTTCATTTGCTGTTAAATAAAATTAAGATGATTAATTTGTCTGTAGAACATCGAAGATAGAAGATATAAATTCAGGTATGATGGAGGTATGATACAAATTAGCGACAACAGGCACAAACGAGAAACCATGTGTTAGTTAGGTACATACATACATACATACACACATACACACACACACACACACACATTATATATATGAGTAGTTTTCTATTCTAACAAAAAGCAGTAACAAAAGAACTGAAAAAGAAAAACACGTCTTGATATTGTTCCAAACAGAGCATTTTCACTCCCTTGTCCTTTAGCCAGACTGCTCCGATCCAAAGAGACATCCATGAGACATTATTCATCCGTAAAGTAATCCAAACTCAGCGGGGGCCAGACATGAGTGTTCCAGTGTATCAGGAAAAGAAGGAAATTAAATGACGAGTAAAATCAACTTATCTCTCCATCTTGGCTCAGAGAGAAGGACCCTTGTGGGACCGTGTCCAAGCAAGATTTGTTATTTGAATTTAAGACATTATTTGGAGATGGGTTTGTTTCAGCCATCTGCTGTTTTTAAATGCTGCTTCTATTTAATCAGTGACTTCACCCACAGTTTTCTTAAAACCATAGAACTTGAATCGCTGAGACTCTAGCTGCGTACTGCAAAAACTTTTTCACTCTATTGAAGTTGTTCTTTCCCTTTTTCCTTTGGGGGGGGATAACATGAACTAGCAGACAAGGGCATTTAAATGTCCAAAGTGACTATCTGTGCAGATACAAGCTTTCCTCCTGCTAATGGGGCTCTAACAGTTCTGAAACCGTGACACAAACGTCACAGTCTAGTGTCGCGGTTCCGAAGGGCAGAACAGCGACACAACCTCTCACCAAGACTGTTGAGCTCTCATTATGACAGTGTGGCAGCGGCCAGGTATATAGGTATTTGTATTACTAGTATTACTGGTCTCTCACTGCAAACACACCAGCTTGCCCCTCCTCTTTCTGTCTCTCTCTCCCTATGCTGACTTTTTCCATCAGCAGTAGGCTTGGTTTTATAGCTGTATTTAAAAAACTCATCAATGATTTGGTTTTAACAGCAGCAGGTGTGCTGCATGTGGATTGAAACCACCGTGGTACCGAATGACATCTGCACTATGCACTCACTGTCATTCCGAGCTTATACAATATCAACCGCGTCCGCGTCTTGTAACGTAATAGGCCTACCAGTTAAAATCTCTCGGTTTATATTTATGTTGCCAAATATACTTTGGCAGCTGTTAATATACCTGGGCGGCCCGTACTAGTAAAGTCTATATGAGGGAAACACTGTAAAGTTAAGGCAGGCTGTAGACCTATATTTTGTAAATATTACACCGTACACCTAATTTATTGACCCCGAACCTGGTTCTTACCCTGAGGGTTCCTGCTCTGCAGACGATGAAACGGCGTGCTGTTTGGGGCAGAGGGCGTCAGTGATGGAAAGGAGTTCACTTTCAGGGAGGGTGGGGAGGAGGAGACGCAGGGACTCCAGGAGAAGCTCAGTAGACAGCTGACTCTGCTTCACCAGCCCAGATGCAAAGTCCAAATCCTGAGATGAAGAGCAGGGCACACAGCCACCTTGAGGACAGTTTATCTCTACTTTCACTGGCATTCGCGCATGTCCCTGTGTTTTTCCATGCCATTAATATGCTCGTGTTAAATGTAACAGTGGGGGGAAAAGATGATAAACTCAGACCTGGTCACAGTTTGCATAAAGTCTCTTCAGCCCCATCTGTTCTCTTAAATCTTCTATGGCTTGATTGCTGGCAGTCATTTCTTGAAACCTGAAAACACCAGAAACTTTCAGGGCTGTAAAATTTAATGGCCTGTGTTGATCCACAAAATTCGTCATTCCTCCTGAGATAACACTGACGTGACAGCTCACCTCTCAGCCAACAGTGTGATGACCTCTTCACACTTGTAGAGCGCCTCGTGGAGGATGGTCGTCATCCTGCAGTCCCGCTGCAGCTGAAACAGCCTCTCCTCCTCGGTTTCCTCCCCTCCCTCATCGGAGTCCTCCCTCTCTTTCTGTGTTGGATTTGACTCAGCTCTGGACTGAGACAATTGCAGGCTGTCCAACTCTGTCCTCTCCTTCTGAAGCTGCTGTTCTGCTTCCTCTAGGCCCTGTGGCGGGAGTTAAGTTACACTCTAATAAAAGTCTACACAGTTTCAGTCTCAGAGGAAACATGAGAATAGAAATTAAAATTGTCTGAGAATTACACATCACTTTGGACCTCATTATATGCCTCTAAGCCCTCGAGCAGCCCTTTAACCAGGAAATGCTACAGCACAGGGGTTAACTCGGAGTCAAGCTTTACCAAGCAGTGGCTCTGAATACTCTGGGCCATATCTTGTCTCTCCAGGCTCTTTCTCTCTCGGAGCTGCTGAATGAGCAGGCTGTGCAGAGTGAGCATCGCTCGGGAGGTCTCCAAGACCTTGGTCCTCCTCTCAGCCTTCTGGTAGTGGATGGTAGCCATCTGCATCGCCAGGCTGTCGGCCTGAGAGAGCAGATCATCCTCTCTCTCCCGCTGCATCTCCTCCATCACCTGCCATAGTTAGAAGGGATGTATTTCTTGTGAGAACAAATAGCACCTTGTGTACACAAATAGTCGTTTACTTCAAGGAGTATGGCTTCTGCTACTGAATGAGTTTAGGGTTTGATGTGATATAAAATGAATGCACAGGTTCCTTCTTGCCTGCGCATAAACGTGACTTATAGTAACAGTAATTGGAGAGAAATCAATAAGAAAACAGCTTTACCTTGTTCATGACACCGCTCTCCATCTCCTTCTCCTTCTCAAACAGTTGGATTCTGTCCTCAAGTCTTCTCTGGAAAAGCAGCAGGTCAGATGTGTCTGTTTTCTGTCTGGCCTCACCGGTTTTCCCCTTGGATTGCATGTTTGTCTGCAAAAACCACAGTATCCATTAGGTGGTCGAGAAAAGAGTCCAAGCATGCTGTTATGATGTGATTAGAAATGAAACCACTCTGTGGAGCCCTTTATTATTTCTGAATAACAATGTGCACTCATCCTGTGACCACAAAATTGTGGCTGATTGCAGTGTGGTTTGCACTGGTCACCATTCTCCATTTCTAACTCATTTCAGAAAACATTAAGTGGACCATTATCTCCTGCTCTTGTTTAATACCAGTGGACTCCTCCCTTTGAATTATCTTTAGAATCATATCTATGTCTGCCAATGTGACTTTTTAGCAGATACTACCACTAACAGGAGCCAGTAATGTTCTAATCCTACAAACAAGTTTTAAGAACATAACAACTGAATTCAATAATGTGTGACTATGTGTTCACCATTAGTTGCTCGCTCTCCTTTCTCCAAGCTGCGAGAGCGGTGTGGAGTTTGGTTCTGGAGACAGCGTGGGGCAGCACCAGGCAGCGGTCCATCACAGACAGACACTTCTGAAACTCTAGTTTCATCCTGAGCCGGTCATCTTCACACAGAGTCAATTGGGACGAACACAAACAACTGGGACAGAAGGAGAAAAGGAAGACAGAGAGATAAACACATCAGGGTCCCATCCATGAGATTTCACGTGGCTGTGTTGAGAGTAATTTCATGAGCTATAATTGTGGACAAACATTATTCTAGGATGGTATAATTATTGTTTGTCCCCCCGTAAGCCCTGTTGTAGACTGATAAACAAAAACCGTTTGGTATCCACTGCGTTTTTTCTGTAGTGTATCATGTGTACAGTCTCATGTTATCTGGGAAGTGCTCATTTAGAAATATTTCCTAACATTCTTTTTTCCCCTCCTTATTCTTATTCTCTAACTACCTTTCCCAGAAATTAAGTGACTGGCGTTATTATATCACTGACCTGAAGAAAGCCCTGCAGTGTGCCCTGAGCTCCCTCTGCTCATGCAGCTCTCTCTCCATGGCTTCCCGCAGAGCCTCCCTGGTGTAGCTGAGGATGCGTAAGGCTGCCTTGCCTTCCTGATGCAACCTTTCCTGGCCCTGCAGGAGACCGCTCGCTCCTTGTCCATGGGCTTGGCCTGGTCCTGCCTCTGGTTCCACCTGCAGCTGGGAGCATTGCGCACCTGGGGGCAAGAGTGTCAGCAGGGCCTGGGTCGCAGTGGGCTGGACGGCTTTGACTTCTGTTATGGCACCCTGGATAACGCGCATGGTCACCTATGTAACAGGGAGAGGATCAAGACAGGGAGTTAATCAAGTTCAATCAAGCTCAATGGTATGTCTGTGTGTGGATTTTTATGCATCTTTCAAAGTGATTAGGTCATAAATGTGTCTGATGTGTACTGCAAGAGTGGCACCTTGCGGATGTCGGCAGCAGCCTCTTCATCCAGGTTGTTGATGAGCTCGGCTAGCTCCAAACTGTGAGCTGTCAGTACGTTCTGCCAGCAGTGCAGGTGCTGGGCTACATCACTCCTTCCCTCCAGACCCTTGGACAGACCCGACAGATCCTTCTGTCTCTGTTTCTGGACCCGCAGCTGGAGAAGGCAGGAAGCAGGATTAAAGGTGGTATATTATTCAAGATGTGTGTGTTTATCAATCCACAACTGACATATAGTGCATGATCTCCACACCATGTCAGAGATGAGCTCCCGCCTCTTCTTGATCAGTCCACAGCGCATGGCTCTCCTCTCTTCGCTCAGTGCCTCATCTAGTCTCTGCCTCACCATCAACAGCTCTTTCTGGGCCTTCTCCTGTAGCTGGTCTATCTGCTCTGCAGGTACGATGCTCCCTCTGGTGGAGAGATGAAAGCAAACACAACTGCAGCCCAGCTACTCATTTTGTTGAGAGTTGGTAACAAAAGGCTTCCTGAGGTTAATATAATGTGCACATTTTCTGTTAAATGCCAGAAAGATATTTTCTTTTCCATGTAAAATATTTGTGCTCACTTTTTATATATTTTAGAAGCAATTTAGATTCAATTTTCAAAATGTATGTTCATACTGCTATAGAAGCTTACTTGGTCACATTTATAGGGTAGTGTAGTGAAATAGTGCAGCTACAAATCACCATCGCTATGATGCTGTCACAGGTAACTACAATAGGCACCAACCTCCTGATGTGAGTGAACCAGCTGTCCAAATTGCTGGAGGTGCTGGAGAAGGTGTCAGAAATCAGGCTGTTCAGGCTGTGAAGGCTGTGCACCAAGAACTTCCTCTGTGCATGGCGTTCAGCTAGCACATAGCGCTGGTTGGCGAGGACCACATCCAGCACCTCTTCAAGCTGATCCTGGACAGAAAAGAGAAGGGCATGTTGCATAATGTATTTCAAATGTTTGCCTCATGTGCTGATTACCACAAATACAGATTGCTGACAAGAAAAAGATAAAGTAATATGAAAAATGCTTGCAGGTGCCTATTTCGCATGTCGAAAAACTCAAATGATCAACACCTCAAATCCGTTTAACATACATAAAAGTGTCACAACTTTAAAAGCTCATTTTGGTCGCTCACTTGACAGGCAAAATAATCGTGCTGAAGACTCCTGGCTGTACTCTTCACCAACTCGCCCATCCTGGTAGCCTCCTCCAGCTCCTCAGAGAAAATCTTGTGCAGCTCCACCCGGCGCCACTCAACGATCTGCCTCTGGACCTTCGCCGAGGCTTCTTCATGTCTGACCAACAGGATACGCTGGAGGCGACTCTGGCTCAGCTTGTGCAGCTTCTCCAGGAGGACACTGCAGTGGAGGAGCTCCTAGTGACATTACAAAATGAAGTTTACAATTTAGTGATGTAATAAAAGCAATAACCTAACAGGGTTCTCTCGGATCCAGGGGACCTGCTTCATGTCATTTCAAAGTTGCTTGTTTTTGTTTTTCTAAGAACTGTTCTAATAAAATACAAAAATACCCAACAAATATTGAAACAAAGGACTTATTATTATTACCTGTTGGTCTGCATGTTGACACAGCAGCTCGGCCTGGGCCTTCTCAGCAGCTTCTCTGCGGTGCTCTGCTTCCATTTCTTCCCGAGTCTCCAGGTTCCACTGGCCAGCCAGAGCAGCCATGCGGGCCCCTCGCTCCTCCTTCAGCCGGCCCTCCATGCCCAGCAGCTGTCCATGGAGCACACTGAGCAGCCTCTGCTGGGCCTGGGCGCTGGTCTGGCCCTGGGACCGCAGGCCACCCAGCAGGGAGGTCATCACATCCTTGTAGATCTGAATCCGAGTGGCCTCCAGGTTGTTGGTGGCATGCAGCAGTGTAGACATTTCAAGGCTAAGAGGGACAAAATGTAGAATAAGCAGAGTACACTTGTAAATTGTGCGTTTCTGCTAAGATATACTGCAAAAAGGACATTCGTGTCCCTGGTGGAGTTGATAATAATGTGAGTAAAAATGTTCAGATCAATTGCAAACTGGATGTAATAATGATTATAGATTTGGGTGAATCAGTAGCTCTGTGATAAGCAACATAAATGAGTGTTCCTTCCAAGCAACAACCAGCATAACTTAATGTTGAAGTCAATACAGGAGTTCCTTAATGTTAAGCTCTTCTTTTGACTGCTACATGCTGGCCTCAAAATCAATCAACTATATTGAATTGAAGGGGAAAACTACAAACTAATGTTTAATACATTACATTTACAGTATATATTAATGTTAATACATTTTCACAAGCACCATCTTAGTGCCAATTTCTTCCTCTTGGTGGCGATTTTGATCATATGTCTTCCATTTAAGGATATCAAGCCTTATAGAGAGATATTTAATTCCCTCTCGACTGGTCTACTCACTTATCCAAAGCCTGGTACATGTTCTGGGGATCCTCCAGCACCATAGTGTCCACCATCTTGTCTTCAAATATTGCCTCATCTTTTACAGTTTCATTCATGTTGCAGTCTGCGTACTCTGGGTCTGAATCACCTCTGTTTCGCTGAAGCAAGAAAATACATGCGCAATATATGAACATATACTTGACCTAAATCAAAAAACCCAAACCAATAACCAAAATGTACATTTTTATTCAAGAAAACAGTTCTTTCAAAGTATGTTAACAGGAAAGAAACAGAGTTAAAACATGGTTCATCAACCAAACTGTCTTACATCAGACAGTTTGGTTTGATTAAAAAAAAAAATTCTTTGAATACTCAACACTTTCATAACATTAACAAGCACAAATATATAGCGCATGCAATTAACAAATTAATGAGTTGTTATAGTTTGTCAGTACAATAAATATTTTTGAATTTGTGATACCCTTTGCTGAAGAAGGTTCAGCCTGGTTCTGGGTGCTATCAGGTTCATGGCCAGAAACCCCACTGAGAGCAGCGACAACGTTACAAGGAACCCGGCAACAAATCCAGCAAAATGGACCCCATGATTAGGATAAATCTAAAACGGTGAGATCAGACTTTTCATCAAATCAATTCTGTGAACACAAAATTGAAAACAGTACAAGAACAAACATGCAATGCTTGAAGCTGCAAGTGTGCTTCCAGTTAAGGAGCTGTCCACAACTTACCCTGTCTGTGGAATTCACCCTCAAGGTTAGATTAGCTTTTAATGGGCCAAACATACTGACATCATTCTGTGGAGTCAAGAAAACAAAACTCTGGGTAAGAAGACAGAATATTTGTTCTTATTTTATTGCAAATATTGACATTCTGAAATTAACAAAAGAATTACTATTTTGGTTTAAGTTGTCAGTTTAGGAGATTTCAGAAACGGAGCAACAGAAAAAATACCTGTGAGGCGTTAGAGAAGGTGAGAAAAGCTGGAAGGTCAAGGACTTCACTCTTATGACTCCTTATGTGAGCAGTATAATTGACAACAACTTGGGATCCAGCTAAGAAATGAAATCAATATGATGTTATCTACTGTGGATAGAGAAAGTTCTAATATTTCAAGTAAAAACATTGTGACTCCCAGACATACCAGACAGTGAATCAATGGCAAACGTCTGGTAGCCTCTTTCCACCACTCGGCCTTCAGTTTTTAATGGTACTATTCCAGAGATGGAGTCCCGGATGGCCACCTGAGACAGGTTGGTGCCACTCAATGGGCCCATGTTGTGAATCAGCAGGAAGAATGTCAGCTGAGGAGGGTCAGCGTCTCGCTTCACCTATGGACCACATGATCAAACAGGAAGGGTATGAATCACTGGAGGGTTTTCAACATGTTCATTTGCAGTTTAAAATTGGCCCTGCAAAACACATAGGAACTAAACGCACACAGATAAAAATGGGCTGCATTCAAACAATTATGTTGATGTACCTGGGCACACTTGTGAAATTTGACCGCAAATGCAGATGGAGGTGCCCCACTCTGAACCTGCAGAAACATTCAACACACTGTGTGATTAGTTTCTTCCAAAATGATAATCCTTCTATGAATCAAGTAATATTTTAAAAATGTATTGTAACAGGGTGTAACATGTGAATGACAATGCAACATATACGCATTTCATAAATCTTTATTTTGCAAAACAGCCAGTACCGAACAAAAATCTATATTAAAGAACTACAGAAAAAATCCATATAGATGTTGCAGCAGTGGGGGAAAAAATGGCTGATTGACAACTGATCTGTTTAGTGCGGAAGTACCACAGAAAAACTATAAATAAAAGTTTTGACAATAAACTGAACTAAACAATCACCACTTAGATGAAAAGGTGTATTGTCTGTAAACCCCACGGAGAGTGACTGTGTACAACGACTGAAGCGACCAAAACACCTCTGAGAAACACACCTGAGGCAGAGTGTGGCCCGGGTTGTATCTGGTGAGTGTGCTTCTGCGGCTCCGGAGGGGCACGATGTTTGACATGTAGGTAAATATAGTGTAAAAGGAGTGTCCCCATGGACCAGCAGGGGCTGAAGAAGCGAGTGGGCCCTCTGCTGGCAACACCATGGGCCAAGTGATTTCCATTTTACCTGACAGGATAAATAGAGGGTGAACATTCTGAGTACAGCACAGTGACAATAACTAAATAAATGAACACATACATGCCTACATACTATAATTGTGTATGTGTGCTAAAGATTTTTAGTACAATAGTCAGTAAATCATATTTAGTAAATAAATGTTACTTCTGTAGTGTACAACATTATTTATTTATTATTAGCAGTTAGCAATTTACCTATCATGGAGATGCACGGTGTTTGCACAGACATGTGTTGTGTTATTTACTGTATTGTTATTGTATAGGATTGAGAGAACAGGACAAACCATTCATCCTACTCAACATCAGCTCTGCTGATTTCCCACCAGGGGCATGTTGCATTGCATGGACACAGGAGAGGCTCTGACAATGAAAAGAGGGCATTCATTATTGCACATTTAATGTCACCTGTTTATTGACAGATCTTCAATAGCTTCATCCAGGGACAGCCTACAGACATGTATAAACAAGCGTACCTCTCTAAGCAAAGTTATTATCTGTTATAGCATGTTATATGACAAGTGGCTGGTAAAATAAGGTTCAGGGATACAACAAAATAAAACATTTCACGGCAGTTTTCAAGATACAAGCCAGCATAGGGAGAAGTGATGGGTAGCTGCAGAAAGATCTTCAGACTATAAAACTAATTGTGGTGACTCAGCCTTAACCTTCATCAAAAGAGAGATTGGGGACTAAAGTTGTTACACCAATATAGGGTTCTTAAAAGGTTCCCATACTATTGCCTCTCACCTCTTGTTTCTCCGAGAAAGGAGGAGGTGGTCGTGTCCTGTACCAGGGTGCGTCCTGAGATGTGCCGTCATAACAGGGCTGGTGTCCAGCACTGGACTCCAAAACACTGGCACGCCGGGTTACATTGTGACACCAACAGGAATGTAACGTAAAAGGAGGAGGACACAAACACGACACTTGGATATTCAAGATAAATGACCATATCGTAACCCCCTTCGCGATATAGTGTACCTGAAGCATTTGTAATTTGGTGTGCCACTCTCGCCTAGGAGAGCCGCAAGCTAACGGGCTGCATTGTCTCTGGGTGTTGCATCTGTTAAAATCCGCGATCGAAACATTTCCACCGCTTTTTCTTGAGATTCATCCATCGTAGCAGCGTTTATGACGAACAAGAACATCTTACTTGTATGCTGATCTTTTAGGTGAAAAATTGAACGCCGTTTCAAAGATTTGTACACGAGAAGGTCCATAATTGTGGTTGCTGCACAACTTCGGAAAACATTTCCAAAACTTGGGAAGAACGGGCAACTCCTCAAGGAGCATCAAGAGCAACAAAGTGCACACATTTGTTTCCGGTCATGGCTTTTAAAATAAAACAACATAGACGAGCCCGTGAGATGATGTGGATACCTAAAAAGTATATATATATGCTATGGAAAAATAAAAATAGATTTATTTCGGTAAGTATTTGCTTCAACGTTATTAAGCAAGGCAAGTCTCTCATTTTATACCGCAAATCACCATTAGGCTTTAATATTGAAGGTAAAGTCATCCCGTTTCCGGCCTAACTGTAGCTAGCACCACTGTCTCGGTCCTCTTAAATCTCCGTTTGGCCATTGGCTAAAATATACACCCAAACTTTTGCTGGAAGAAGTTGTTGCAAATTTTAGTTTACTAATGTTTCAAAATGTAAACTGTTTCGGGAAGAAGCAACCTTTAAAATGTTCTACAAAGGAAGAAACTTTAGCGTGAACGGCCAGAAGCTCCTTTTCTCGAGCAGATGAGTTTCGTTAAAATTAGCTAACGTTAGCTGGATGTTGCCGACAACATGCTAACACTGAAAACGTTAGTTTTCCTACATTTTGATGGGTTCACTGAGAAATGACAGCCACGGAGCTGATAGCGGAGTGCGGCACTGATGTGTTGGTCAGTTTCGCGGAGTCTCTGCACATGTACACAGGTCTGTTAACTGTGGCTACAGTGTGTGGAGGGCTTTCGGGAATATTAGTTGCTGCTCTTTTATATGTCTTCTGCCTGAAACCTTTGCTGTTGATAAGACAAGTAAGCAAATAATAACACGGAACCTCACCCTCGTTCTCCATCACTTTTATCATACAGACGTTATATTCCATACTTGGATATATCTTGTGTGTCATCCCTTTAGGGTTACAATGCAAGGAGGCTACTTGAACCTGATTATGTGGAAGTGGACAACAACCAAAGCGACTGTGTCATCAACAGCAGAAAGGAGGCTCCGACTGGCACCACTAATGACAAAGTACTGTTATCCAAGACAAGTTTAACACTGTCTGAGACACTTAACGTTATTGTAGCTTCACAAAAGTGGATGGCACAGTTACATGAAATGTTTACTGGTAAATTTGTGGCAAATACTTGGAAATGGCAAACAGAGGCTTCATTCAGGGTTATCTATTTTTTATGTTTACTTATTAACTTCCCACCAACCATTTAAGCCTGTTTACTCGTTGTCCAGGACAAGAAGAAGCAGCCACCCATGAACAGTGATGTGGCCGCATTTGCATCCAGAGCAAAGGTGGTTTATCCCATCAACCAAAAATACAGAGTAAGTCCATCATTAATATAATATAATAACCATACACCTTCTGCCAGGTATACAAGGTAATAGACTCCCTACAAAACTACTGAAATAAATGCTTAAATAGGGACCAGTGAACAAGGTCACTGATTTTATCAGATCTTTTAATGTTTTACTTAAGCAATAGTAATTAATAATATCAAATCAGAAAATCAAGTTTAGCTAAATATATCCACAGTGCTGTTTTAATAGAAGTGATGGCCTAACTAAATACCGTAACCATATGCAAACCAATCCAAGGGTTGCTGAACATCAATAATAATGTAGTATGGTTTAATCTATGGTTTAATCTGTTTGTTTACGATTACAATTCACTTACTGCATACAGTTTGGCCAGAATGCTGCCAAATTGGCCACGAAAATTGCAAAAAGTCTTAAGTGCAACCTTTCGCTGTATCTGTCAGCCTTTAGCGGACGGAGCATCCAATCCATCACTACATGAGCACTCCAAGTTGCCAGCTATGCCTAACAAGGAGTCGTCCTCCTCAACGGATGAAGAGTCCCTAAGCCAAGAGCAGGACAACGACGACAGCAGTCAGTTTATCTCCTCCTCGCTGGTCCCCAAGAGCCTGCAGAACCAGAGCTTCACCAGGGTCTCTCACTACCCTTACACACTTATGCAACCAGGGTAGGCACCAGTAGTTTCTAAATGTTAAGCTGTAACCATACACATCAACTTTACAGCAATTATGCACAAACCCCAGTATGCTGGCAGTGATAATACTTGTTATCTCTGCAGTTTTGAAGGTAGGATCAGCCTTTTCTGTTTGGCCCTGCAGGATATCCAACAACATTGCTCCCAGCTTCAGGAAGAAAAGTGTCTGGTGAGGTTTTTGTCATTTTTCTACAATATAGTAGTAAAATAATTAGAAAGTATATTTCTTAAAAGTCGTCAAAGTTGAAATGGTTTTTTTATTCTTACTTTTTTCCTGCCATAGATTTTTCTTCAAATGGTGAAAATAATATTCAGCTGTCGTTTTCCAAAAGGAAAAAATGACGCTGACTTCTCCAAGAGTGTTCTCCAAATGCAAGAAAAGGTAGAGACAGATGTCCTACTGACAAGTGGCTTCTTGTACTCATCACATGTTCTTTGATGTCAAATGCATTGTTGTTGTTTTTTGCACATACAGTACATGAATATTACATTCTTTTTGCAGTTCTTGATTTACTGTGCACAGAAACACTGACATTTAGATTTTAATCCATAGGAAAGTATATGTTGTCATTTGTCATTTCAGGAACTGAATGAGCTGAAGACACAGTTGCCAACAGGCCACACTGCCAGTGATAAAAATGATGATGCTCCCTGTACTTTAGAGGAAATAGAGAGAGCTCAGAAAGATCTTCTTGAACGTGGCCTGCAAGTGGTAAAAGCAAATAGCAAACCCCAGAATGCAAATTATTCAACAATTATACTGATTCTAATAATTTAAGTCTATGAGACCACCATTATTTGCACTGCCGGTGTTCTGTTGATTTATGCTACCTATCAAGATGTGCTACTTAGTGGTTGTGCGCATGCGTATGACCCATAAGCAGGGTCTGTTTCCACGCCCATAAATCTGTGCAACCTTGCTGTTGGGCATGCCGTCGAGACAATGGCTGATCAGCAATATCAAAAAAAAAATGTATTAGTCTAACAGAATACACTACCCCTGATATCTTAAATAAAGATGGCAAAATATAATAATCAACATGCTCACTATCTCCTTACATTACACATAGAGTGAGTAGTGGTGCAATATTAAATGATTCTGTTGTGGGAGCATTATTTGGTAGGGGATATTAGTCAGATTACGCTACCCCTGAAATAATGTTATAATATTAATCAAAAAACAGAAGATGTCATAATACTGTGAAAGTTATAACTTTATGGGATTGGAAAAGGGAACACATTAGGTAGCATTTTTCGATAGGGCAGAGCGACTCGTAGTCTTTGCTATCGATTTGCGCTGTGGTAGGATTTTTCGACAAGGCAGCATATATGGTCAGAACACCGTCTCTGAAAGGAAAATTAATGTATATGTCTCCTCATAGTCCAGACGTTTCAGCAAACAGGTGGAGGACTTGTGCCAGCATCTGCTGAAGAAGACCAGTGTTTTCTCTCCAGATGAAGCCCAGAATGTGAACACCTCTCTCATTCAGACTCTTCTGTTAGTAGAGAACCACCTGATGAACACACAAGAAGCTGATCTAAAGGTAAAGCAACACTAGTTATTGGTTGGCATGCCATTCATTTTGCTTCTCACCCCTTGTGTCATCATGTGAGGAACTGGATGTACTAAAGACAAAGTTCAACGTGTCTGTTCCTTTTCTCTTGTCTTAGAGGATCCAGCGGAAGTTGTTGTGGTGGGAGGAGCTGACGGGGCTCCTTCAATCCCAACCTGCCTTGCTAAAGCGGGAAATGTCTCTGAGGCAGAGCTTGGTGGCAACAACCCTGGAGCAGCTGACGAGCGATGACGTCTTGACCTTTAGCCACATGGAAAAGATACTTTCAGAGGTTCAGGCAACTCTGACTGAAGGCCTCCAACAGTGTGCTGAGGGTAAGACCATAGACTGCATAAAATTTGGACATTGGGCCTTTCCGAAAGTACTTGCTCCTCCCTTCTTCCACTTGAGTACTGTCCGAAACCAATTAGCACGGAGTGGTAGTGGGTTACAAAACCCTCCGATGCTGAGTGAGCACCAATGCTGACTTGTTGAAGGTGTGTAACAGCCTTTGCTGCACGATGGGGGACCTTTCTTTTAAATTTGACTACGCCCCTAAACATGAGGATTTTTAAATTCCGAAACTACACTAACATTTCTAAATAACCATACACAGGTTAACAACGTAGTCTAAAGGTTATATTGTGTTTAATAATAAAAAAAATCTTCAAAAGTAGGCTAAATAAGACAACAGAATAATAGAACAGGACACAACTGCATATATAGTATTATCACAAAACAGGCAACAAAGGCATTCAAGAAAAATAGTTAAATCTTTACACATTTTAACTGTACTTTACTATTCTTCAGACCATATAATGTTTCAATATAATGTTTATAATGTTGTATTTGTGGGTTTTGTTTGGACCATTTGTATTTGTGAATGTAATATTTTCCATATAAGATAAAGAGGTTCAAAATATATTGTCTAGTCTTTTACAATCAATATCAATCTTATCATAAAATAATATAATGTATCTTTTTCATAAATGAATAGCTCAACCAGTCAACGTCTTAAAGAAGTAGGCTTTTCTCATATACAATCATAAAATAAATGACAAATGGTTTCAGTTCAGTATTGCATAACACAGACTTTTCCCTTAACATCAATCCTGAATCTTAATAGCCTACAACTGTTGTTTGATTGATACACATATGATAGAGGTGAGTGAGGGAGAGAGAAGTTCATCTGAAAGCTGTAACTCGATTTGGCTGTGGAGGTGACTCCGACCAGAGTACACTGATGGAGTGGAAGTGGCGAGGGTCTAGTTTTGGAAAGACCCATAGAGTCCCTGACTCCGGCTAATCCAAAAATGGGCAAAGAGGTGGAGCTGAGGCGGGCAGAATGACGCCTGGTTGCTGAACCTCACTGACTTCTAGCCACTTGAGAGGATGCCTACCTGTCAATCAAAGTGTCCACGCCCTAAATTATGCCTAACTTTAAGATGTAATATAATTTAAACATGAGTTATTAGTTCAGTT